TTAAAATTTCCAGTTTATTACTTGCTTTCAAATAATTATTTGAAAAACTTTAAATTACATATTTAAGAAAAAAAAAATCAAATATAAGCATATTTTATCTTTTTTAAATTTAAGTTATAATGTTTTTTATTCGTTTAGTATAGACAAAAAGTGACAAACGTCGAGAAAATAAACAAATGTTTTTACATTTAAAAAAATGAAACATTCCAAAACATTTTAAAATAATAACATTTCTACATAAACAATTTAAAGTAGTTTTGCGGTAATTAAGTAAATTGGTGCAGTTAATGTCGATAAATATGAAAAGCAAATAAAAAGAATTTAATGACGTCAAAAATCATGTCGTGCTTATGCGTCGCGCAGTTCTTATTCATCGCAAGGCCTGTAGTATCATCTTCAATTTTTTGAGACAACAACTTCAGCTCAATTTGTAATTCGTTTGCGTCAAGATCTTTGCTTCCTTTATAAGTTAATCTTGTTTCTAATAATTTACATTTAACTATGAGTTCATTGTTCTCTATTTCATCACATTTTTTAATATCATACAAAAGTTCAAAAGGTAGCATAACACTTTTAAATGATTCAAAACGTTTTTTCATTGAAAAATTGCTATTGTGAATAATACATCGAAAAATTTCCTTTTGAATTTCATTTTAGGATTAATGGACTATCCAAAAAAAAAGCGTTCTTTTTTGGACCCGATTTTCTACCTCAGGCCTAAAATCGTTAGTTAAATCCGCATCTATAGTGCATACTTTAGCTTCTGAAATATATTTAGCGAAAGAAACTTTGGAATTACAAGAAATCAAAAATTCAGTTTTTTTTAACACACTACCTGCTGATCTCACATCCATGCTCTGCAATTGTAATAATTTGCTCGTACAATTTATTTCTGATAGAACATCTTGCCAGATTATTAGACCACAAATAAATTCAAAACTGTCTACTTTTGATGTGATTGATTCAGCTTTTATATGTGTAAGTGCATCTTACGCTTTTCAAAGCACTAACGGCATTAACACGACTTTCTCATCGTGTACCATTTAATGATTTTACTGTCAATTTACAACACATGGATATGAAAATATGCCAACGCTTTGGCGATCTTGAGAAAAAATTGTAAATTGTTTGGATGGTTGAAATAAAATTAATAATTTCAATAGCTCCTTGCACTGCATCAACAACGACTAAATTTAAGGAGTGGCAGACACATGCAATTAAGAAAGCCCTTGGATTTATGTTTGTAATATGAGCCTGAACACCGTTTATTTTTCCACGCATATTGGCTCCATTATCGTAGCCTTGACCACAAAGATTCATAATTGATAAGCCATTTTGTGTCAAAAAAGTTAACATTTCTTCGGTCATCTTCGCTCCGGTTGAATCCAAAATGTTAATAAATTCCAAAAAACTTTCTTTAACTTCCACACTAGCATTATTACCTTCGGTTGATTTTGTTATGTGGACGTAATGCAGAACAATTGACATTTGTTCTTTATGGCTGGCATTAGGTGTACAGTCTACAATAATGGAAAAATACATTGCATTTTTTACCATTTCCAAAATATTATCCTTTGTAGCTTTAGCGATCAATAAAATAATTTCTTGCTGGATATTTTTTCCCAAGTAATGAGGCTTTGGATTTTCTACTGCTCGTTTAACATGTTTCTCTAACACCGCATCAAACTTTGAAAACAACTCAACAATTTTAAAAAATTTACCATTCTTTTCGGGGAATATTCTGTCTGAAGATCCTCTAAATGCAATATTTTTTGAGGCGATCATTAAAATAATTGAGATTATTCGCTTGAGCACTTCATCCTAATGTTCTACTTCACTCAAGTATAATTTATTAGCTAGACAATCAACAGCTTGACCACAAGAAAGCCATTTTTTAAGCTCAATCCACTTTCCATAGCATTGAAAATGCTCAGTACTTTGCTCATGTCTTTTTAAAATTATTGTTATGTGGCCCAAGTCATTTGTTCCTCCTTTTGCTAAGGCAAATTCATTGCTACTAAATATTTTACAATAAAAACAGAACAACCAATCTACTTTGGATAAATATACAAGCCAGGTTCTTTTAAATAATTCACAATTTTCTGTTTTTCTATGAAAATATATTTTGTTAAATGATCTACCCTAACTGTCTTTTGGGTACTGGTTAATATTAGCTTGTATTGGACCTTTGGAAACTATATTTTGAAATTGCAAATTCTGTCAATGTACCGGCCAATCCGTTATATCACAAAAATCATTACAGCTAGATATATTCTCAGAACTTTTTTCTACCTCACTACTTAAACATTCATTTTGATTAGCTTTCCTAGTGCTAGCATTTAATTCAACATTAACGTTAGTTTTGTCATTTTCAGATAAAGACTTCTCACCAGTTACAATATATTCATCATACTCACACTCATGTGTATCGATTTCTTCAACTATTTTATCAGAAATGTCTTCATTTTGCCTAACTTGCAGAAAGCTGTTCAACGTTTTTTTTGATTTTTAAATTGTTCTTTCAGCCTGTTTTGTCTATTTTGTTTGTTTTGCCAACCAGACAATTTCCGTTTCCGATCCATGTTACAGCAAATAATTTTTCAGTATTATAATTCAAATTCACTTATAGTTGGTTTATAATTCAAATTCACTTACTTATAAAATTTAAATTCCTTATCAAAGTGTGAAAATGAAAATTAACTGATAACATTTTTATGTGGCGCTGATAATACAATTCTTAATTATCTAAATTTTGAAAAAATAGAAATTAATATTCCTTTGGTAATAAAAATTCATTCGGAGGCGCCTTTTCATTTATAAAAAAAGGAAAAAATTACTTTACAAAAATTTAAAATTAAAAAAATATAATTTTGTACTGTATAAAAATTATATTTCATATAATCTTGTAGATGCCTTTTAATTTTATATATATATATATATATATATATATATATATATATATATATATATATATATATATATATATATATATATATATATATATATATATATTATTCTTATATGCGTGTTTATTCATTCTTATATGCGCATTTATATGCGAGTCAACCACCCATAAAATCTCTAATATAATTTAATATTAATAATAAATTTTAAATTTTTATATAGGTATATATTAATAATCATTATAAATAATTAAATTTAAATCTATATAAATGAATAACTAGATAAATAATAATTTAATTAATCAAGAAATTTAATAATGTAATAAAATTAAACAAAAACCTGATACTAATTTAAATAAACTTTCATGGAATGTAAAAAGTCTTTGTTTAATAAGAAAAATCTGTTTTGAAAAAAGTAAATTGATTTTTCAAAACAAAATGCTTAAATGATTTTTTTTTGTTCTTATTGCTTTTTTAAAACCCATATAAGAATGAATAAATACGCATATAAAATTGAATAGATGCACATATAAGAATGAATAACCCAGTGACAGACAACAAAAACTTTCTTATACTTTTAAAACGGAATTTAGAATATTTAACTTTTTACAAAAAGGAATTTCTAATATTCCAAAAAGTTAATTTGAATGAATTAAAAAGGCAAAAAAAAAAAAAGTAAAAAAATTGTTACAAAAATTGATCTTGTAAAAATTTTAATTATAGAAAACATTTGTTTAAATGCAAATGTTGTTAGATAATGTTAGATAAAAATTGAATGAAGAAATTATTACATAACTACACCCTGAACTGGTGTTCAGGTGGTGTAGTTATGTAAACACCATAACATTATTATAATATAATTGATCTTTTTTTTAAATCTGAAGAACTTTGAGAACAAAAAGAACATTGAGAATGTGGTGGGGATCGAAGTTGGAACTTCTCACTAATGAGGCAAGCACTTTTTTTTTACTATCTTTTTTTGTTTAGAAAATAGGTTTTACGTATTATATTTGATTTAATTAATTCTTTATTGTTTAGAGGAACCTTTTAGAATAATTTTTTTAGATATTTGCTCATTTCTTTGAGTTAATACAACGCTAGTAACAAAATAAACTTTGTTCATTATATAATAAAATAGTTTACTATTATACGTAATTTTTTTATATTATAAATAATAAAATTGTTTATTTATTATATATATATCATTTGTTAAAATTTTTTAATACTGCTATTATTTACCAAATAACTTTAATTATTCTAATTACGCATAAAGCAAAAGTTATCTTTTTTAAATATAACCAATTTATGTATGTAAACTATGTAACCAAATTTTAAAATAGATGTAATTACTAGCATATAATTATTTTAAAACACAAAACAGTTATTTTAATAAAAACCTCTTACAAAACTAAATTAGAAGAAAATGAAATGTGTGAGCAATTAGCTTTCTTTGAAAGATAAAATAATTTAAAAATATTCATTCATTTCATTTCAATTAAATACAAGTATAAAAGCCTCAAAATTCTTTTATACACTTGTAAGGAATATATGTTACATTTTTAATGTATTGAAAACTTTTTTTAACTTTGTTAATTTATTCATAAATATAAAGTTAAAGTTTTTATTTAAAAGGATAAATTTTAAGGTTTAAAATAAAAACAAGGATTTTATTTAAAAGGACCATGAAAATTATTAAACTTTAGTAAAAAAAAAGAAAAAGAAACAAAATAGCAAATATTTAAATTAAAATTAAAATAAAATTTTTAAATTTTATCAGAATCCACCTTAAAGAGTGTTTTGTGTCATTGTTTGAAATCAGGGGTAAATACAAAAATAAAATCAAAGTGGTATACACACAAATACAATAAAAGTGGTATATACACAAATAAAATAAAAGTGGTATACAGACAAACAAAAGTGGTATATACACAAACAAATGTGGTAAACACACAAATAAAATAAAAGTGGTATAAACACAAATAAAAAAAAAATAAAAGTAAAGATATCTAAAAACAAAAAAAGAACTGATAAACTTAAGATATTTATTACAAATAACTAAAAAGCGGTAAAAAACAATTTAAAATAAAAAAATATTACTTTTTCAGCGTGATCCCACAATTTTATATCTCCAAGATAATTTTCAGGTCGTGTAGAAAGAAACAGTTTAAATGTAAATCCAAAGATTGAATAAACATGACGAAGAAATTGTAAACAGCTTTTTATTTCTGACTCCACCTTAAAAAATTGTAAAAAAAAAAAAAAAAAAAAATTAATTTAGCAGTTCATTTTGCTTATAATAAATTTTAAACCATTACAGGTACTTTTCAATTAAAGATATTTTTTAAAAGTATCTTTAAGTAATTTTTTTTTAATGCACAAAAAAAAAAAAAAAAAAAATTGTATATGCAATTTATGTAAAAAAATAATAATAACAAAGCTTTTATGCAATAAAATATGTAAAACAATAATATAATTTAAATTTCAACATACTTGATCCATTGTGCAAAATATATGAGCATCATCTTGTTGAAATCTTCGAACTCGAGTAAGGCCAGTTAATGTTCCAGACAACTCATTACGATGCAAAACTCCAAAGTCAGCAAAACGAAGGGGTAACTCACGCCAAGAACGAGGACGATTATTAAACATAACACTAATGAATTAAAATAAAACTGTTTTAATAGATAGAATTTTAAAACAGTTATAATGTGATTGTGTGTGTGTTAAAACTATTACATGCAGTAGTACATTAACTACAGAAGTGTATTAAACTTTTTTTAAGTGTATTATACTTTTTTTTTGAAAAACCGCAAAAATTACAACTTTAATTATTAATCTGTTATATTTTTTGGTAAATTGTTTTTTTTTTGCTTTTTTTTTAAATATTCAAATTATTATTTCTACATTTCTTTTTACAGAAAGTGTATAAGAATGAAATATATATAGACTTAACATAGCCTTAGGTCGATGTTAAGTCTATATATATAGACTTAACATAGCCTTAGGTGCAGCGTAATGTACATACTTCGACTGAGGTTTAGTTTGGACAGGAAATTTTTTGAATAAAAAAAAATTTTTTTATTGTATTCCGGCTTTGACTTTTAGTGTTCAATTTAAAGTAACAGGTAAATAGACCAATAACTTATAATATATATATATATATATATATATATATATATATATATATATATATATATATATATATATATATATATATATATATATATATATATATATATATATATATATATAAGGGCTATTCTAGGAAAAAATTTGGGCAGTGGTGCCCCCCCTTCCAGAAAAATTTGACAAAAATATTGCTGAATATAAGCATTTTTTGGCACAAAAAAAAACGATTGTTGTTAAAAAAAAAAATTCCTCAAATTTTAAATTGGGTGGTCCCCAAATCAGCGCCTAAATACGGTCGATGCTGTCGAAAACGGTCTAGAATAGCCCCTAATATATCTATTAATGCTGAATCTTGTATTCAGTACTTTCAGAAATTTTTCATTATTGTGTATTATGTCAAATCTGGCATGGGTGTCATCTAAATATATTCTGTAAGTTTTAAATGAAAATTGACTGGCTTATTTCTATGATAAACAAGATTCGCCTCCTTAGACTGTTAAGGATTATTCTGTTGGGCTATAGTTTGGTAGAGATTCCATTTTATTTAAAAATAAAATTTGCCAAGACTGAGATTGATCTTTCTAAGCATATAAATAAATGTCAATTCAGTTAGTATATTAAGACTATGAATGTTTTCTTATTTAAATATCAAAAATTAAAAAGGTTACTTTGACTAATCAAATGAAGAGATATAATACTCACAATCAAAAGCGACTTAATTTTCACTGGAATCAAATTTCCAGGATTTTGTGTTAGTGACAAAGAGAAGTTTAGTAACTTTGTTGTACAATTTTAGGTACTAAATGATCCATAATGGTGTAAAATTTAGAAACAGAGTTCAAGAAATTGAAAAACGGGAGAAAATTTAGCATAAATTTGCAGAGTTTGCAGACTTTTCCTTAAACAGTTTAACCTTTGTTTAATATTTTGAAAAACGAATGCAGCATTTTACCATTTTATTATGAATAATAAACACTAGTTGAGCTGATTTTATTCTAACTATTTAATTTAAAATTCATAAAAAGTTTTTGTTTTTTTAAATTGTTTTGTTTAAATTTGAAAAAAAGATTTCTATTTAGAGTTTAAATAGAACATTCAATTGGCCATTTTTATTTAATCATTTTATAATGAAAACAAAACATTTGTTTTCCTATCTTTATTTTAATTATTTTATTAAGAGTTTAAATAAAATTTTTGTTTTGCTGGTTTTTTTTAATCATAAAATTTTTGTATACAAAAATAAACATGATTTTTAAACAAATGGTATTTTTTGATGTTTTGAATGTTTTTTATTTGTTCCTAAAGTTACTTAAAAATATGTTCACGAAAAAAGCTTATTAGATTTGTTTATAAAAATCATTAGGATTCTTTTATCAAACTTATCAGGATTCATTTCTAAAACTCATTTTTCCGACATTTTTTCTGTCTGAGTATGCAATATCTGTCTGTGTATGGGCTATCTGTGTGTGGGGGATATCTGATATGTGACAACATTACTTGTGTTTGCAGTAAACTTTAAAATAATAATGTATACAGAAAAAATAATAAATGAACTTTGTTTTTAATCAGTTGAAAAGGGAACTTGGCAAATAATTTTAAATTCTTTTTTAGATCTTGCTTTTTAGCTACTAATAATTATGCAATCAATATTTTTTTAAAACAATTTTAACAGCTTAATTTAAACAAATTTATTAACTAATTACCAGCTAGTATTTATAATTATTAATAATAAAACATTAAATATTAATTTTAAAATAAAAACTAATAATTAATAGCTTTATTAATTTATTTAGAATCAAAAGATTCATCAATTAAAAATTGTACAATGGAAAGTTTTGAAAATTTTCTGTGATAGTTGCCTTCATAAAAGCTTTTATAGGAGGCTTGTAAATTGTTATCTATTGATACTAAATAATGAATTTTTCTCAATTTAGTTAATAAAAAAACGTATAATCTTGAAGAAATTAAAATAAAAGGAGCTAAAAATATAATAGAAGTTGTTATGACATTCTTTTTTAAAACTTTTAAAAATAATATCATATTAGGTATTTAATAAGTTAATAAAAAATATCTTATTATAAAGACAACTAGCATGTCAGACTAAAAGCTAAAAGCTTTCGATATTATGTACTTTGCCACTTTCAGACTTAGTAAATTATAATAAAGTATATTTATAACCTACTTATGCTAATAGTTATTTTGATAAAATACCTAATCAAAGTTAAAATATAGTTTATATAATCATAATTAATTTACAATAAAGTCATACCAATGGCCAGGGCAATTCATGGGCTTTAAAGCAAATCGTTCTTTTTCAACTTCAAAAGAGAACATATTAGTCTGTAAAAAAAAAAAAGGAGTTAAAAAATATTATAGGTATAAAATTATTTTAAATTTTTTTTTATCACAAATAAATTTTAAATTTCTTACGGCGTAATGTTGCCAATGACCTGACTGCTCCCAAAGTTTTGTACTGAACATATTAGGTGTAATTACTTCTTGGAAACCACGGTTGTTATATTCAGACTAAGCAAAAATTGATAGAAATATATAGCAAGTAAACAACAAAAAATATATAATAAAATATAGTAAAAAAAGTATAATAAAGTATAATAATACAAAAATTTTAACTTGAATTTTAAAATCTTGAGAAAATTATAAACTTAATATATTTAAATTTATAAATCTCATATAAATAATTAAACACAAAGTGATTCTTGAAATAATAACTCAATTCACTTACTCTGATAAAACTGACCAACGTGTTGTAAATAAATGCTCCTTTGGGTAAAAAGAAAGCAGATCCAGGACTCAAGTCATTAAAAAAAAATAACTCTTGTTCCTAACAAAAAAAACATAACAAATAAATGTGTTAACCTTTTTATTTATCCACAACAACAAAAATTATGTTGTAGTTGTATTTACCTTTCCAATCTTTCTATGATCTCGTTTAGCTGCTTCTTCTTGAAAATGTTTCCACTCTTTTAACTAAAACAAAGAAAATAACAGTTATTGCATTCAACAATTTAATTTTAAAACAACAATATTATTTCTTTAAAAGATTTGAAATATTGACAAAATGTTAGATTAGATTGTATTTATTAGAACAAATAATAAATGTTCTAAAGGACACGCAGGTCCATATTGATAGATACTAAGAGCGTGCCCTTCCAAAAAAATAAATTATGTAACAGCTTACAACATTGAATAAATAATTTATATACAAATAAACAAAAAGATATATAGTCATTGCTGACAAAACTTTTCAAAATTGATTGAGTTAATTTTACTCATGAAGATGTTGATATTATTGGCATTAACAACATCGAAAAGCAACTGATTCCAAATGTTGACAACTCGTTAAGTGAAACTAAATTTGCGAATATCTAGTTGACAATGTTGTTTGTGCATTTTATACTTATGTCCTCGAGTGTTGTTTTTGTTGTCAAAAAGAAAGAACATAGATTTATCAAATAAGACCAAGTTATGCAAAATTTTGTAGCAAATTGAAAAATCATGATTTACTCGCCTTAACTCAAGCGACTCCAAATCAAGCAACTGAAGTCGGTTATCGTAGGTTAAACTACTTAAATGCAGGATTTTTTTTTGTGAAACATTTTTGCACATTTTTTACTACCTTTATTAGTTCAACATGATATGGCAACTAAACTGAGGAGCAATATTCTAATATAGGCTTAATATATGTATTGAAGGCTTTTACTAAGATACTAAGATCGCGAGACTTGAAGCATTTTAAATTAAGATATGCTCTGGTATTAGCTGCATGTACAACATTTGAAATATGCTTTTTATAGTTTAGTTGAGAGTCCAGAGTTACACCGAGATCTTTCGGAATAGAAGACCAAGCTAAAATAAGATCTCCTAACTTATAGTTAAAGTTAACAAATTTTCTCAATGAAGCAGGCATATTCCTATGAACAAAACACTTACTGGTAGAAATAGGTAGTTTCCATGTTTCTGACCTAAGTACTACCATGTTTCTGACCTAAGTACATTATCAAAAGGATTAACTAAGTAAAGGCTATGGTCCATATTGCAAAAAGAACAGTATAACTGCATGTCATCTGCATGATGTTCAAATAAATTTAAAAAATTTATAATTTTAAATATCTGCTTAAATAAGTTGAATGAAGTTATATAAAATTATACTAATTTATCATTTGGAAAAGATATTCCATATATACGCTGAAGAGTTTCCGCATCTTTATTTCCTTCCCAGTAAGTTGCTGAGTTCTACAATAAAAAGCACAAAATTTTAAAGAAAAAAGTACAAACAAAAAAAAAGAAAAAAAAACATAATAATTAAAAAACTGCATACAGGTAAAAAGATAGAACAAAATAAACCAATATAATCATAATTTACAATAAGTAACAATTTTCCTATCGCTAGTAAGACCCATCAACATTACTGACACTTTAGTTGCAAACTTGGGTGTTGCACTTTATAATTAAAAGCTGTTCCCACAAGTAGCTAAAACTAAGCCTGGTAGTTGTTTTAACAAAAATTACCTTGGTAACAGCCATGGCTTTTACTTTTCCAGTATGTCTAACATGGGGACCTCTACATAAATCAATGAGCGGACCACATCTAAAAAACAAGAGGTTAAAAATGCATGAGTGAACCACATACAAATACTTAAACACATTATGCAAATTTTATCTGCAACAATTTTTTACTTTTTACAAATTTATATGCATATAGTAGTTTTTGTAATGCAAATAAGATAAAATACAATTTTGTGTTACAAACTTACCTGTATACAGTAGTTGTTGGCGTTGTAATTTTTTCATTTATGATTCTTAGCTTAAATTCATTGTACTAAAAACATTTTAAAAAAAATTAAAAATTATTATTATAAAAATTACTTAAATTACTATGATTATTTTTAATATAGCAACAACAACAACATTAATAATGTTGTTATCATCATTATTATTATTATTATTATTATTATTATTATTATTATTATTATTATTATTATTTATTATTATTATTATTACTATTATTCAGAAAGTGCTAGTATTTTTTTATCTCTCATTACGGAGTGCTTATAATTATATTTCTTTGTTTATTGCTTTATTTTTTTGTAAATATATTGACTGGAAATAACATACAAGGAGAAACATACATCAACTGACTTTAATAGGGAGAAAATACAAGGAATGAACATATTTAGACTGAGGCTTTGGTTAAAGTTGACAATCACTGATGTTTGTACACTCCCTGCATATTTTACCTATTAAAGTCAGTTTGTACAAATCGCTGCACCAATTCATTCAGTCACAAAATATCAAAACAATGCAAAATATTGAAAAAAAAACAACCATGCAACAAAATATCAAGTTTAAGATTATTATTATATTGTTCTTTGTCTTACTTATTATATTATATTATATCATAATGTAATTATTATTATATTACATTATTATTATAAATTATTATATTTTATTATTATAAATTATTATATTTTATTATTATAAATTATTATATTACATTATTATTTCAAATTATTATCATAAATAAATTTTATAATAATTCAAATTACTTCAAACATTTTAAGTAAATCTTCTTTCTTCATCTCTAAGCGTTCAAATGGTTGCTTATCTTTGATGACATTTTTTATAAGAGTTTCAAGGTTTCCAAAATCATGAGTTGATACTAGTTTCTCTGTCCACATATCATAATAAAATCCTTCTTCAATTGGTGGACCATAACATAAACAACCACCATAATGGCGTTCCATAGCCTCTCCCAAAATATGTGCACTTGAATGCCAAAACACTTGCTGACCTAAAATACAGTTTGATGATATCGACCATTTTTATACTAATACTTCTTATTAATATTGCGTGCTTAAGACTTTTTTTTAAATTATATAAAAGGATTTGGTAATGCTTCCTGTAAACAAGAATTTATTAAAATCATCATTATGACTTAGTTAAGACACTTACTCTAAAATCGTATTTGAAACGGCAATGACATGTTATTTTTTTAAAGACAAAAAATAAATAAAAAATTTAATTTTGTATTTTATATTTAAGGTTTATTAAAAATTTTTTGAAAACTTTCAAAAATTATTTTAAAAGCCCTTAATGTCTGGTACTTGTATGACAAATAGAAAAACAGGCAGAACACAGTCTTATACCACAAGATTGACATTAACAGGATATGCTAACACTGGCATTGTGGCTAATCATCTTTTTTTTTTTTAAATTCTCTTTACAAATTTTTATAAGACTTTGACAATATTATTAGTGCTATGTTGGGAAAGTGAATAATGGTCACTTTATATTTCAAGCCCACTGGGTCTTAAAGAAACATTTTTCAACTGGATAGTAGTTGCCAGCCAAATTTTCTACATTTGGCATCATAAAATTGTTTACCCGAGGGTTTTCACTGGTATCTTTATAAGAAAAAGTTGTTAAGTTGCTGCTAACCTGATCTCAAACCAAGAATGACATTTTTTAAGCACATATTGATGCAGATGCCATGTCTTTCCCTTATAGAAAATATAACTCTCAATTGAAATAACCTTTGGTGATTGCATCTCATAAATTGATTAATTTTGGATAATTGCAGTAATACAAAAATTTCTGATAACCAACTGAAAGTTTGACTTTGTAAACTGCAAAATGAACTTAAAAAAGTGAATTTGTCACCACAGAAGTAGATCACAAATGAGAAGATCATATGGGTGAGTTACATCCCATTTCAGATAAATATTAGTGTTCTTGATGAGACCCATATTTACATAAATCCCCTAAAATTCTAGCATTACTACTAACATTCTTCATATTTCAGACCTTGTGATAAAGAGTTAGGTGTAGTGCATTTCATGTATGTGAAGAGCAATTTTGTGTGGATTTATGCTATTTATGTTAAGCTAAAAACTTTTGGTAATATTTGAGCAACTTTATAGATATTTTTAAGCAATATTTTAATGAAGTTTATTTGTTTGTGTTTATTTTATGGAAGTATTGTGGTATTTTTATCGAAGTAATTATAATGCACAGTTGTGACAAAGTTTAAACTACAGTTACTAATACCCAAGCCTTCCCAGAAAACGCATGCTGTTTTTAGTCTTGCATGTCCACGTATGAGCATTTTACTTTAGACAACTTGGTCACATCCATTTGCAAGTTTTATTATATTAAGTGTTGCGGAAAAAAGTTTCAAAAACAAAGAAAGCAAAATTAACAAAATAGGAAATTAAAATAAACTGAAATAAAAAAAAAAAGTCAATTATTAAAATAATTTGTATATTGTTTTTATTGCTTCTTTAGAATGGTTGTTATTTTCAGCAACAGAATTCGATAAGTCAAAGCAAAAAAAAAAAAAAACAAAAAAAACAACAGTTTTTAGTTAAAAAAAGAAAATTAAAATTAAACTAAGCAAAATAATCTCGCAAGTTCGTGAATATTTTTTTAGACCAAGTTTTGTTAGTTACATTTGTTCAGGTATTGAAAACTTGAAAAACTAGTTGTTTGATTTATGATTAAGATATAATGATTTTATAACTTGACAGAGACAGCGTTTATTAAAAGCATGTAGGCTTAAAGTAAGCTAGCTTATATAAAAAATATTTTGTCATATTTGGGCATTTAATGCTCAGGTTCAACCTACTTGATTTAAAATTTTAGTGTGATATATTGTTCAATAAGCAAATTTTACTTTTTCACTGAAATTATCTATCGTTTAAACCTATAATGCTTTTATTCTACCTTTTTATTTTATTTTACTAGAAATGAAATTCCTTGTAAACATTAAAGATATGTAAAAAGCACACTTTAAAGTTGTTTTAAACTTTAAAGAATCTAAGTAAACATATAATAACATTGTTACATAATAACATTTCTACATTGTTTTGAGTAATATATTCAATTAAACTAGTCTTGTGGTATTTAGTAAATTAGTTTAAAATAGTATTATGTCAATAAATATGAAAAGCAAATAAAAAAGAATTTTATGATGTCAAAAATTCCATTAAGCGAAGCATTTTTTATTTATCACTATTACATATCCAGGTATTTTTGATATCACTCATTTTTAGAGTTAAAATAAACATACACAATATTAAATAAAGAAAAAGAAACACATCAAGCAGCACAATCTAGTAGTACCGTTTACAAATTATTTAATAAATAACAAAACATTATTTATTAAAATGTGATTATTTATTAAATACACAATTATTATTAATTATTAAAAGTATTTTCACCATGCATTAGTGATTATACCTTCAGTTTGTTCAAACTTTAGGAATTCAATTTTGCAGTCACCTTCTAATACACGATCCAAATCCCATAACTCTCCATTCACCTTGTGAAATATATAAAATAATTTATTACATACACTAACGATTTCAAAACTTTTGAGTATTCTCAGGATAAATTTCAATATTACAGGTTTGCTAATTTTTAATGTAAATTTGTATATTTTTAAACATCTGTATCTTAATTTAAAACATGCACTTTTTACTTGAGTTAAATACGTGTACTGTTATTCTGCATGTTATGTTAAATGCTTTGATGCATGTTGCATCATATTGAGGTTTTGTCATTAACATTATGTTGATTGTTTGCTATTTGAGTTTTTTAACCTCACTTTTTGTATTTTTGCAATGGATTTAAATTATTTATTGAAAAATTCTATTGACAAAACAACCCCTATTGACAAAACAACCCCTAAATTGACAAAACAAACCCCTAAAAAAGCCACCTCAGCCCCATAGGTGAATCTTAAACTACATTCAAAATAATCTATTCATAAGAGATTTGAGTTCATTAACTTTAAATCTCATATCAATATCAAAAATTTTTTTTCTTCTCTTTATTTTTTTAAATATTTAATTTTTGTGACGATTAAAACTTTAATAAAACCAGGACACCATGAGTATTTAAAATACTACTTTAATTACTTTCTTTGTATGGAATAAATAATTAATATAATTGGAGACATTTTTCAGTTTCACCAGAACTTAATGATGATGATGAGTCCATAGCCAAGAGTATTTCTTTGCCATTTTATGAAACATGTATCAGTTATCACTGAATCTATTGGCAACTATCCAGCAAACACATTATAGCAGAATTTCAGTAGACCTATATAGATATTTTGAGCAGACCGCTGTAGTTTTGCCCATTGGTTACTTAATGGACCAATATTGGCGACCGCCAAAAGTGGCTTGCTGATAATTAACCACCATTAAAATGTCGGAAAAATTATCAGCTTGCCATTTACAGCGATTGCCACTGATGGTCCACTAAGTAACCGATGAGCAAAACTCCAATAAACAGCTAAAAAATGCCTATATTGGTTCACTGTGAATCCACTAAAACAATGTTTGCTGGGTAATGATGCTAAGAAGGCATGTGATACAGACAGTACATTTAAGCGCACATACAGTGCAGATCTGGCAAAATGCATTTCAATATGGAATGCAATTCGACAAATTAGTAAAACATTAAATGCTTAGGTATCAAATATTACAGACAAAGCAATACTCTACCTCGTGGCAACATGTTGGAATTCTCAGTGCAATACTGTCATGCAATTACTTGAATTATGTGACAAACTTAATTATATATGTAATGCTTTGAATGCGCCAAAGTTTTAAAAGCAAGAATTAGAATGCCTGCAAGAATATGCCTTAAGCATGAAACCTGTTGCTACAACATTGGATACTTTGCAAGGGACTAATGTGAATCATGACCATGTGTTTCCACATTAAAATAATTTACAGGTGAAATTGAAAGCGTTTCAAAGTTGCCAGTTAAAATATGCTAAATTATTTGCTGCAGCATTGTTAAAAAGCATGATAATTCGTTTTGAAAAAGAACTGAGATTTGATGTGAGTAGTTCATACAGGATTGTTGCAGCAGTTTCGCACCCACTGTACAAGTTAAGGTGGATGCCAACAAATAAACGTGTTATCTGCAGAGAAATATTTAAAACGCCATACTAGCTGCCTGTGAACCATTGACAGCGACCAATCTCAATGTGAACACTGACAGCACAATTGAAAATTTTGTTGTATATAATGACGACACTCAAAATGCTGGTGCAGCAAATGGCGCTCAGCAAGTATGCATAAGCATAAGACTATTCGGTCACTGTTTGTCAAATTCAAACTGTAACATCTTTGGCTCCAGTTAAACAACTATTTAGCACAGCGGGACAAATAAGATTACCTAAGTGATATAATGTTTGAAAGACTGCTGCTGCTGCTAAAAACAAATGTGAATGACTGAATAAATGATATTTAAATATAAATGTAGTATAAATGACTAATAACTACTTTTGAGCAATGAGAGTGCATAAGAATAAATTTTGAAAATAGCGAATTTTTTAGTTGTAAGTTTAAAAAGTTGTAAAGTATTTTGTATTTAGTATTTAAAATACTTTTTTGTTCCAGTATTTGTATTTGTATTTTAAATACTTTTATAAAGTATTTTACCCAGGTGTAGATATAATCATAACATATTCTGTTATATCTGTGGTTACTTTATATTTATTAGACAAAGACAAAACATTACTAATTTTATAAAAGTAGCATATAAATCGTATTTTGATATTAGGCTTGATGACCAACAAAAATGGGCTCCACATACTGTGTGCTGTAGTTGCAAAAAGGTTAGACAAAAAGAAAAAGTTTATCTTTCGGAATCCCAATGGTATGGAGAAAACCACTAAACCATATTGAGAATCGCTATTGCAAAAAATAGCTTATTTCAACATTTCTTTTGCTATCAGACCAATTCAACATTCTGAAAAGATTCCAGTTCTATTTTTTAAGGTTTTTTTTTTTTTTTTTTTTTTTTGTCAGAAGATAAACAAAGCATGTCTACAGAAACAGAAGAACTAATATTAGATTTAGAAAACTTCTATAATACGAAACATTTAAAATTGCCTCAGATATTTTAGTCAGATAAAACTAATTGACTAGCCTCTCAATTAAAGGAAAAGATCTTCAGAGCTTTGCAAAAGTTTTCTACTTTAGAACTAGAGAAACATTTGTTTTTCAGAAGTTCATTAATTTGTGTTCTGTAATGATATTTCAGGTCACCTATTACAGTTGGGTATTTTTGTATATAATGGAGACTGTTTATCCATATCTCAACGTGAAACCTTAAATGTGTCCTTTTGCACAATGCCAATATTTTTGGTTCTGTACCCTTGGTAAGCAGAATGGTTTTATTATATTTCCAAGTTATCTCTGCATGTGATATAATAAAGCCAGAAAGCAACGCTGGATACAAAAAAAATGGCCAATTTACAACACTCTCACATTGAGCATGCTAATTTATATGAATGAACCAATTGTTAGTATAAATAAAAAATTTTTTCCTAAACTCTATCTTAAAAATGCTTTCTTGAAACAATTTATTAAAGCACTGAAAACTGAAAGTTTTTGCTTTCAACATATAGTAAAAACATTGCCAGGTTTGTCATTAGAAAAAAATAAGCAGGAATTTTTGGTGGACCAAAAACTTGATACCTTATAAATGTTTAAAATGATTTAATTTGTTAAAGCAATGAATAGCAAAGAAAAAACTGTTTGGTTGTTGTTTTTGGATAATGTAAAAAACTTTCTAGGAAATAAATAAGCTGTAAACTATGCAGATTTAATTGATAGTATGTTAAAAGCTATTTATGATCTTGAATGTAAAAGGTAAAAAATGTAAAATGAGTATAAAACTTCATTAAATAGTCATCTTGACCAGTTTACTGAAAATCTTTAGATGTGAGTGAAGAACAAAGAAAGAAATTCTATAAATATCTTAATTTTTCAAGGTTGTTTTCAAGGTTGATGGGATAAACACATGATGGAAGACTACTATTGTAGCATCTATCAAGAAAACTGGGAAAAAAGTTTATAAAAGAAAGAACAATAAACAAAAGTTTCTAAATGAATAAATAATTTTAGTTAAACAATATTGCCTGTAATCATTTTTAAAACAAATTTTTACATTAATTTTTTTAACCACCTTACAGAAATATCTTTAAAACTTTTGTCAACCACCTAAATTTTGAAAAATAAAAAAAATTGTCTATTGCAAAAAATCTACCATAAAAATCTGATGTCAGATTAAATTCAGCATATCAAAATTTATTATTTATTAGCATAAATAAAATTAATAAATTCTTCATACCAAAATCAATGATTTAAAAAATAATCAGGAAAACGAAAAGCTTTTAAAGATATATTTGAAAAATGCAAAAAAATAATCATTTTAATACTTTTTTTTAAAAAATTTAAAAAACTTTCATGATGATAGAACTTGTGAAGAGTAGTATTTTTTGCAACAAGTTATGGAAAAAATTCATATGATGGCATAGTTTGAGTGACTTGCAGCAAAAACAAGTCTACATAACAACTAAATACTACTTGTCAATAAAATCTTTATAAGGTATACTGGAAAATTAACAAGGATAACAATCCACATTAAAAATGCAAAGCTAAGCTTGCAAATGATATTCTAATTCTAAAAGATCTCCAAGAATTGCATCAGTCTGTATCATGTAGTTATGGCAAGTTAGTAATGCAACATATCTTAGTGATAGATGTTTGACAACAATTAATGCAGCTAATAATAAAGTTTTCGACATCAAAAAAACAAAACATTGAATTATGCATTCAAAAACTAAATAAAATTTAGTTTAGTTTTTTAGATATGTAATGTTTAGTTCCTTCATATTTGTGTATAACTGGACTTTAAATATAACCTTGTTTTGTTACTTTTCCAGGCTCCTATCAAAATAATTTTTCTTCAAAACCTTTTCTTATTTCAAAAGTTAAAGACATTATAAACATACAAAATATGACATGTTTAAAAGTTAAAATATACCAAATCCACAGAACATTGAACCAACCTCAAACTTTTGATTTTGGGGGTTCTTTTGATATTATTTTATTTTAATAATTTTTTTAATTGTTTTTTGATATTATTTAATAAAAGTAATGGGTGCATATATATTTATTCAATTACAATAACAAAATATTAATTTATAAATCATTTTTAGTCAATAATAAAATTTTTTTATTAACTTAATTAAATTGATAAAAAAGACAATACATAGTATGCAAAAAATATAATATACAATACAATTTCTTTTAACAATGTCAAAGCCAAATTTTGTTGCATTTATGACATTTCTTAAGACAGAATATATGAAATGCCATCAAGCTTTCAATTAATATATTTTTTTGACACAAATATGAACATAACTGCTGGGTAAAATGTTTACGGCACAATGATCTGTAAAAAAGTAGCTAACTTCTAAAAATGACTTTTGTCATAAATAAAATCATTGGGGAAGGATTTCTAGAGACCAAACAGTCTCCTGCTTTGCATTGTTAACCAATATTTCTTTATTGTATTATACATATCACTTTACATATGTTATAACAAAGAATATAAAAGAATATAAAGAGTATAAAGTTTTTCCTTTATTAACCTATTACCTTGGCAATTACAGCGTTGTCAGCTAAACCTTGGCTAAAAGAAAATTTTGTTTTTACTATAGCTTTACATTTACTTTTATTGTTTAAAATTTCTATTTATTTTATTTAACAACTTGTTAATAAAAAAAATAAAATGAAATAACTGATTGAATTAATATATTCATTGCTTATTTTAATTTTTAAAAAATTTCTTTTTTAAAAAGTAAAATATTAAAAATTTATATTTTACCTTATTCCTTGAGCAATATGATATGGTGTTGATTGCCATGCGAGTCCGTCAATTTCCTTTCCATCAAGCAGTACTATTTTTATTGGTGATTTTTCTTTGGCTTTAATGAAATAAAATAAAGATTAATGTTAAATGGCAAACTATTGCTGATCTCATTTTTTCCTGATTGCAAGGGGTGTATGTATATATACATATATATAAATGTTTATTCACTTACCCAAGGCCGAAAAGGCCACTACAGTCAAGGAGGATACTTAATTGTGGTTACAACCCTCTCTAAACAATTCTGAAACACGAACCTTGACAAATAAAGCTGTTGCGCAAAAAAACAAGTTGAGTTCAGTACTATTAAGGATCAAATTCAGAACTTCATGCTTTTGAAGTGAGCACTCTACCACTACATCACTACTGCAATATATATATATATATATATATATATATATATATATATATATATATATATATATATATATATATATATATATATATATATATATATATGTATATTTATATGTATATGTATATGTATATGTATATGTATATGTATATGTATATGTATATGTATATGTATATATATATATATATATATATATATATATATATATATATATATATATATATATATATATTTATATATACAGGCCTTGTGATGAATAAAAACTGCACGACGCATAAGCATGACGTGATTTTTGACGTCATTAAAGTCTTTTTATTTGCTTTTCATATTTATCGACATTAACTGCACCAATTTACTTAATTACCGCAAAACTACTTTAAATCATTAGTGTAGAAATGTTATTTTAAAATGTTTTGGAATGTTTCGTTTTTAAAATGTAAAAACATTTGTTTATTTTCTCGATGTTTGACACGTTTTGTCTATACTAAACGAATAAAAAACATAACTAAACATTTAAAAAAGATAATAAAATATGCTAGTACTTTTTTTTTTCTTTCTGAAATATGTAATTTAAAGTTTTTCAAATAATTATTTTTTCTTTTTAAAAAGTCAGCAAGTAATAAACTGGAAATTTTAATATTGTACGATTGAAAACTGTGCAATAGCTAGTATTTTTACCAGCGATTTTATATAATATTTTTATTTTTAATTTTTTTCATAAAGCGGTTGATAAGCACAATCACTTGTATTACTAAAAAACTTTAACGAACGTTTTGAATAGATTTTTAATGTTTATAAGGAATTTTATTTCTAGTCAAATATAATTTATTGCACTAGCAGGTGTAGTAAAACAACTTTTTTTTTTTAAGAAAAAAAATTAATGCACGTTTCATATATATATCCTCATATAGATATACTTTATATTTTAAGTTTTATGAAATGGCTTATGATTACAGGTTGCAAATTAATTTTTATTTTATTTTTTACGTTTAATGAGCCTTTTTCAGGGTGTTTGTGGAAATTCGCTTTCATCGGTAGAAACCGGGTAACAAAACCAGGTTATATAAACTTATCAAACTATTGATGTTCTACTTTTCAGCAGCTGTTTTTGAACACGCTTCGTTAAGTTTCGGTAACTTTTAACAAAAAAGCGATTGTTATTATTTAAGTAATTTTTTTTGAGTTACTTTTTACAAAAATTTTAATAACTGTACTTTTTTATTGAATCAAGTAGAATACGTTTTAATATTAATCCTTTTATTTATTTTTTTTATTTGCGCTTACCAATTTTTAAAATGTTTCCTTCGAAATTACTCTTAAATACTTTAAATACGTCTAACAGTTAACAAATATTTTTAAATCTATGGAAAAATTTTAAAACCTAACAAACCCCCATAAAATAATTAATTAAATTAAAAATCTTAAACTAAAAGAAAGTATTTTTGTTCAATTTTATCGACAACTTTGCTATTGCTGAATAATTTTATTAAAATGTTAGCTTAAAAAGATTTAAACTTTTTTTTTAATCTGAATTTTTTCTACTTGTAAATAATGAGCATATTTAATTTTTTCATAATTCAAACTTTTATATTAACTGCGTGCGGTTTTTATAATACTTTAATAAATGTTAAAATAATCGTAAATTACTTCATTAAAATTCTGCTCAAAAATATACTCAAAGAAAATTTTTTTTGCTTGACACAAAATCGCTCTTGGACGACGTAAATTTACATCGCCCAACGCTTTATCGCAAGGCCTGTATATATATATATATATATATATATATATATATATATATATATATATATATATATATATATATATATATATATATATATATATATATATATATATATTTATATATATATAGATATATATATATATATATTTATATATATAGATATATATATATATATATATATTTATATATATATATATATATATATATATATATATATATATATATATATATATATATATATATATATATATATATATATATATATATATATATATATATAATATATATACCTCTTAATTTCCTCTTTAAAAATGTAAGATATACAGCCGTGAATATAGTAGGTCATGATATATATATATATATATATATATATATATATATATATATATATATATATATATATATATATATATATATATATATATATATATATATATATATATATATATATATATATATATATATATATCATGACCTACTATATTCACGGCTGTATATCTTACATTTTTGAAGAGGAAATTAAGAGGCTGATTTTTACTGAAAAAATGGCTGCGCAGAATATTATATTTTTGAAAAGCAACTTTATTCTTAATATTTAACTTAAAGTTCTTTAATGTAAAAGTGGCAGTTGTTTTTAATATATATAATCTTTAAGATAAAACAGATATCTAAGATTTAAAGATATTTGCGTAATATTTGTTGGAGAATTGTCACAGAAATTATTCAAATCAATATACATTTATACCTATGTGTATTATATATAATATATATTTATTTATGTATATTTTAACGTATAAAAAAAAATGTCCAGAAGTAGTTCAAAGAAATCAAATAGGTAAATTTTATTAAACTATATAAAAAATGCTTTGCAACTAACATATTGGCAACTTTATCTTTTTAAATGTTTTTAAGTTATTATTGGAAACTGATTCCTTTGATAGATTTTGTTTGTTATTAAAAAATACATTAACAAGAATTTTTGTTGAAAACGTAATTCCCGAATTTTCTTGACTTTCACAAACAAATTTGTTTTTTGGTGCGTATTTATGTAACAGATATGTTGATGATTTAATGACTGGAATTGATAGAGATGAAATTTCATTCTCAATTAAATCCAAAATAGCAAATACACTGCAAACAAATTCTGCAAGCTGTTTGGATGGATCAAATAGCCCACCACGTGATAAGAGAGATAGATAAGAATTATTTTCAAGATTAATGTCTTCACCTTTCAAACATGCTTTGCAATTTTCACATTTAGACCTTTTTGACAATTTTTTTGCAACATAGCTTGCTATAGTTATTGCCACTTCTTGACTATTACAATCAAGGGAACTTTCCATAATTTCTTCGGTTCGATTTTCAAACAGTTCATCAAGTATTGTTACGGAAGGATGAATATCTGGTATTAGATTTTCATTATGTCCTTTAACAAACCAACTTGGAAATAGAAGCGGTGTTCCTTTGTATTGCAAACGTACATTTAGGTCTACATCAACTGTTATTGATTCTAATATAGTTGGAAAATATGTCTGTTCATTAAATACTATATTATAAAATACAACACCTTTTTCAAATCATTTAAATTGAAACCCTGGTGGTGCTACTGCTACATTCAAATTATGTACATTTGTAATTGTATAAATATTTTTAACTGATCTTTATGGAATAAGTATATATTTATCTTCAAAATTAAGTTCACATAAAAAAGAATGTTTTGTTGGAGTCCAATATGAACGATTAAAAAATCGTATCCAAAGTTGATTTAAGTTTTGGTCTGTTGGAAAATGAAAAGATGCAATTTGTTTGTGTTTGTTGCTTAAGTATCCCGATGTACATTTTGGTGCAGCACATTTGTTGACCACTTTCAATATAAATTCTTTAAAAATTAGTAAATTCAGAAAGAAGAATATCTAAAAAAATAATATTTTAGCGTATTTTGCATCTAAAACTTTCAAAACTGGCCTCTTAATTTCCCCCTCAAAAATGTAAGATATACGGCTGTGAATATAGTAGGCCATGATATATATATATATATATATATATATATATATATATATATATATATATATATATATATATATATATATATATATACAGTGCTTTTTTTCTAAAAAAAAAGGTGCCGGAACTCACCAGTATTTTTCTTTATATGTATCTATATATTGAAAACGAGGGAGAAATTAGCAATTCAATTCATACCATAGCCACTGCCATTGTAAAAAGCTTTTTTTTTTTTCAAAATAATGGAAAGCGTTTTTTTTTTTTTTTTTTTTTTTTGGGGGGGGGGGTGATAATAGGCATGTCACTGTATACAAAATACAAACTTTACAAAGAAAGAAACTTTTATTACAAATCCCATTGTTTTTTCCAATTTTTGTTAAAAATTTTCCACTCGTCTCCTTAGTGTCTACTGCTGAGAGCCTTCCGCTAAATAACTACAAATCAATGTACTTTGAAGAATCGAAGCTTGTTAGCGGTGGTCTCATCAAAGTGGTCTAATGAATAACAACGTTGAAACTGTTTTTTTCTTTAATGAAGTCCTTGTTGGTGTGATGATCAGATTCATCTGTGAAAATCCATGTTTGCATTCAATTGAGGAAATAGGGATAGTATGTAGAGTGTGTACTAAATGAACTAAATTGATTATCTGCTATTTTTGAGGGAAGCATAATACATGATGTAAAGCTAATCAAGAAATGATTTAAATCTGTTGATACTTAAGATCCCCTAATGGTCCCTAATAATCGCCTACTAATAATTCCAGCCTATGATTAGCACAATATTTTTTAGTGATTAATTTGAAAATGCCACTTTCTCATCCTACCATCACATGCTACAGAAACTAAATAATTCATCAAATATTCTTCTTTCATTCTATAAGAATGAATACATTTAAGTAAAGCATCAAATAATCCTTTATCCGTAACGCTTTTAAGTTCCACTAAATCCAAAAATAAACTAATTGGTGAATTCTTTACACTGCCTTTTACACAGCATCAAATTTACACTATCAGTGTTAATTTTTGACTTATAGCGGTTGACTCATCAATTTTTAATGAAACCTTACTCTTTGATTTTATGACTTCTGCAATAATTTTTTTCCTCATTTCATTTCCTATATGATTGACTATATTAATACATCCGTTTGTAAAAATAGGGAATATGATCTATTTCAATTCTGTTAACTTCTTGAAGATCAATTTCCATTTCAAAGCTTTTAAAGGACTGGTTTCCTTTTGCAACTTTATATGCAGATCAAAAAATGTTTGCTTTTACAATTTTTTTACGCGTTAAAGACTTTAAAATATTGTTTGAAATAGTCTCTTTTTTAGCTTCTTCTACTATCTTTAATGAAGATCGATATCCAGCGGATTCTTTGTGATCAACTATTTTTTTACGTAGTAAACTAAAATGTTGCTTTTTATTTTCGCCATGATAAGAAACTTCATATTTGGACCATACTTTCAATATTTTCATTTTTATCTTAACTTCTACGCCAAGTGGTTTCACTCTTTGGCAGGTAGTGCATCTAAGCTTTTTTGTCAAAAACAAAGTCACTTGTTTTCGGAATAAAACTCTGTTTTTTGCTCTTAAGTCCAACAACTTGGCCAGCTATAATTAGTGTAATTGCAAGCAGAAAGTGGATCTGATGTAATTTTGATTTCATCTGAAGCGGGGGAGTCCACCGAGCAGCTTTTTTTTTCATATTAAGTTTTTTGTTATTTTACTTAATTTATTTTATTATATCACTATTTAAATGTAATTGCAATAAATTAAGTTATAAATTTAAATTTAAAACACTGATAGCAGGAAATTTATACTTAAAAAGGCCTATGGTTGTGAGATTGATATTCTGACAAACAAACAAATTGGCGTCAAGAAAACTAAGGCTTATTAAGAAATAAAGAAAATGAATTCTTCTCAAACAAATTTAGTTTTTACTTACGACTAAGAAACAATAGATTCTGAAATGCAGCGCTGTAATGTTTTCAAATCTGCAAAAAATGTTTTACTTAATCTTACTTATTTGCATTTTTAATTTAAACAATTTTAAATATATTTAAAATGATCTAATTTCATTATATAATATAACAGAGAAAAAAAAGTCTAAATAATAAAAAAAAAAAGTTAATTTATCAAAAAAAAGGTGCCGGAATGGCGTTCCGGTGTGTTTTAGAAGAAAAAAAGCACTGTATATATATAAATATATATAAATATATATATATATATATATATATATATATATATATATATATATATATATATATATATATATATATATATATATATATATATATATATATATATATATATATATATATATATATATATATATATATATATATATATATATATATATATGTATATATATTTAACAAAAAAAAATCTTATTGTGGTTTAGATGAATTTTTCAGATATACATATACTTGCATATACTTTTAGGTATTAATGCGATTTATGTTTGGAAAAGGATTTATTATGAAAGTTTAGTTAAAATGTTTTTTTTGTTGTTGTTGCCACAGAGACAATAGAGTCAGGAAGGTTTATCATTTTTAATAACATACAACAAGCTTTGACAAACAAGACTGCTGTGTGGAGTAAAAAGTTACTACATGTACTTGGTTAAATAAAGTATAGATATAGATAAACAAATAACTATTTAGAACTCAAGATAATCTTTTATTATTAATTCAGTCTGTCTACCCATTAAATCAAACTGTTTTTACATGCAGCAGCCTTGTTTAACATTTTAGAGTTAAGGATTTAGTGTTAGGGATTTAAGAGTTAGAGTTAAGGATTTAACTAAAGTAAAGTAGTCTCTTCAACTGTAGTAACCATTACGGATCCTTGGGAAATTTAACTCAAAAAAAAATTATAAGTTTTTGAAAAAAGGTTAAACAATTTTGATATATTTTTTATTTTTAAATTTAATTTTTGCTTATTTTATATTTCCTTAAAAAAAAGATCAATATTTTGCATGTGTGAACTACTTATTAATGAAGTTTTATATCATATTATTATATTTTATATACCTTATGTAAAATCACTAAAACATGTATAAATATTTATCAGTTACCTTTAATTTCTTCATCATATGCTATTTTAAGTTTATCAAACATTTTTATTCTATCAGCAATAAAACTTGGAGGAGGATCAAGCTATAAAAAATTAGACTATGTAAAAAGTTAATGAAAGACTATGTAAAAAGTTAATGAAACAAACAAAAAACAAAACTATGATGTGTAAATTTTTATAACAATTCAAATCTAAACTTTCTTCAAAGATATTTGTGAACTATTTTGAATTGATAGTAATTTCATTAAAAAATATCAGAAATTTGATAAACAAAATTACTATTCAACAGTGCTTAACATCTTAGAACAAATTTAATTAAAACATGCAAAACTCTGACATTTCTATTTTGTTAACAGAAAAGAAAATTATTGATGAACCTCATCAAGAAAGTTTCATTACCTCAAGATTACTAGCATGTTTCTTGTCGGAGCCTGCTGACTTTTTTTTATTTTCTTTTTGAAGTTTTTCTGGTACTAAATCAGCAGGCTTTTCATCTACCTTCATGTCTTCCATTTTCTCGTGCAACGTTGCCATGTTTAATATCGCAATAGTAGTAGTTTAATTATCACGATCGGATATCTCATTTAATCAACAAAGTTTGGTAAAGTGAAAATCGTGCTGTCCTCATGTTTAATTTTATTCATTTGTAAAATTTCAAAACTAAAACTATTTAGAGTTTAAAAAAAAACTTAAACAATAAAAATTGTTTTGCTAACAACAAAATTAATTCGACGAAGATGGGATTCGAACCCACGCGGGCAGAGCCCAATGGATTAGCAGTCCATCGCCTTAACCACTCGGCCACCTCGTCTTGTATATCAACGAGCAAGTAACTTATAAAAATTAATTCAATTTAATTATTGATGAAATTATAGTCATAAAGATAAATATTCTAAGAACTGATGCAATTTTATGAAAAGTTGAATAGTAGTGCAGCTTGTTCCGCACCTTCGCGCTATTCGGATTCTCTATTAAGTTGCAAAGTTGTGGAAACTACAGAACAGCAATCGGTACTTTTAAGGTTTTTTTCTCCTCCCCCCACCCCCACCCCTTTGGCGGCTGACGGCTGTTCATCATAGCTCACAAACCAAATTTTAAAAGGTAGCTATAATGAAAAAAGGTCACATTTTCTTCATAAATACTTTCCCTCTCAATAATTTTTTTTTTCAAGTTTTAAGCGTTTTCTTTGTCTTTTCATTATACCCACTCTTGTTTTTACGGATATTTTAATTAAAGCTGTTTTTAATAAAGATTTTTTGAAACCACTTTTTCATTAGGTTAACATGAGATATAAACCGATAAAAACAAATTAAAAACCGCACCGTTAAGATTTTTTTTTAACAACCTTTCAAAAACTGTGAAAAGTTCAAGAAATTAGGGGATTGTAAACTTTACATGGTTGTATCTTTTAAGTTTCAATCAAAGTATATTTAGATTTAAGGTTTTTATTCTTATTATTTTAAATTAGTTTTCCTCAACTAGATAGTAGCCTGAGGCGTTTTTACAGGCATTTTTGTTTTAAAAAGAATTATTCCAAAAGAATTTAAATCTCACGAACAAAGTTGTTCTTTATGCGCTAAAGAATTATCTGTTGTTAGTGACAGAAAAATTAAGCAACAGAAGGAATCATCCTTTCTGTTTAAGTGTACAAAAAATGATCACCTTTAAAGCAGATAAGAAGTAAAACCGTTTTGAAGATTATCAACTTTTAAATTGTGGGGTGTTATAATGAAAGTATAATGAAAAAAGTAATCTTTTATTTTGTTGAAAATTTTAGAATACAGGAGAATTACTTATACTGATGCTACAAACAAATCACACCGCTCGAATTTACTATGTCATTGGTTCTAAGATTTTTAAAAATTCAGGACTGGTAAAAAAAAAATTTTTTAATTTGTTGATTCAGGAATGAAACTTTTTTGAAAAAAAAAATGTCATTTACTGTACTGTCCTATCTATCCTAGTAAATGAAGTTTTTCAGGAGAAAAAAAAAACAGGTAAAGAAGTAATTCCTTCTGGAAATTGGATTTTTTAAATTCTGTTGCACGTGGTTGTACTAATGAAGATAGGATCTCTAATGACTGTTATAAACATGACCCAATCATCAGTATTATACTTACAATTAAGGAAACAGAAGTACAGTAACATTTAGGTAAAAAATACCTATAAGTACAGGGGCCCCCACCAGGGTAACTCCATCCCTTAAAACTCTCTAAGAGAACTCTACAAAGTACCTCATTTAAACGTTAAAAAACAATATTTTTAATTTGAGTTTAAAATAAATTTACCTACACACAAATATATTTTATTCTATTTTACTTTAATATTAATAACATATTAAATTCTTTATTAGCCGAAATAACTGTGAATTGAACTTTTAATTTTAATTCAATTCCAGGGCCAACGACACGGGGGGGGGGCAGTTTTTTTCTAAAATTTATTCGAATGAGTGGTTGCCGAGTTACCACAACTGCAATAAAAATTTAAAGCCGATTTCAACTTGAAGTGAAAAAGGCTTCTTGTGCAAAGTATTTTTTGCTTGAAGTACTTTTACTCACATCTTTTGGTTTTTCCAGAAAGCACAAGACGTGTTTAACACATCTTAAATACGTTTTAATACTGGGTAGTCCTTCCACAGTCTTCTTTTTAACACAATTGTCGATATTTTCATTTTGTTGTAAAGTGAGCTGATTTGGGTTTTGCAACATCAAATATCTCAGCTGCAACGTATGAATAGACTTGTGATACAATTGGCACTGTTGATGAATCACCTACTGATTTCAGACACAGTAAATCAGTTTTCTTCCAAAAAGTTAAATTAAACTTTTTGGAAGAAAAAACACTTTTCAATTTTTTAAAGTTTTTGTGTTTTTTTAAAGATGTTTTCTCATTAGCTAAATGCATTCAGTTAGTACAAAAAACTTTTATATTTCCTTTGCTTGCTAGCTTTTCATCTTCGATAATCCCAACCATTTGATCATATAGATATTGTGCAGTACATTAGTGTTGAAGTAACTACCATAATATGAATGTGTGAATCATTATTTACGCTAGACCCACAATATTTCATGAGTTTTGAAGTTTTCCCAGAAAGCATGACATGAGAATGGTTTGGTTCAGGTGAAAAAAAACCTTCATGCAGGACGGGACACCATGATTGGCCAGGAAACTCTCCCGACCTAAATTCCTATAGAAAATGTTTGGGCGCTCCTAAAGAAGCGAATATCTAAAGAAAACATTACAAATAAATTGTATTTAATAGAAATAATTATTCAACATTTGAACCATAATAAAAAATTGAAGGAAATCGCTGGAAAATGTATCAAAAGTATACCAAAAAGAGTTCTTGCAATTATAGGGGCAAGAGGAGGAATCACCAAATATTGATCTTGAATATATTTGTAGTAATATTTAAATAATAAAATTTATTACCAACTTGTTAAATGTTTTTATATTTGTCTAAAAAAATACGCATTTTTTAAATAAAAATTACTTTTGAGGACATAAATAAAAAAATAAAAAAATTAAATTAATTAAATAGACTTTGAAACTTGAGAATGTAAAAAATTGTGGGCAGCCATCATAAATTATCACACGACAGTATATACTTTTTTAGTTTTACCATGTTGATAGCAAGTAAAAATTAATTAACGGGAGGGTCTTAATAAGCTTTGGGGTAGTGGGAATTTCCAAAAATTTGTAAACGTCCTATTCCGTGTATTAAGCACCTAGGAGTACACACACCCATTTTTGAGGGTTGATTGATGATTTTTATTGGAAAAGATGGCTGAGCTAAATACTTAATTTTTTTAAAAGTAACCTTAATTTTTAATTTATAGTTCCTCAATAAAAAAATAGCAGTTGATGATTTTGAAGACAAGATTTGAAAACATACTTAGGTACCCAAGATTTGAAGACATACTTAGGTACCCAAAATTTGAAGACATTTTTGTAATATTTGTTGGAGTTAGTTAATCAATGCCAAAATATCAATAAGACAATAGTCAAAAAAATTGTTCAAATGGATGTACATTTATATCTACATATATTATATTTATTTATAATATAAATCTATAATTATGTATATTTTAACGCTATGAAAAAAATGTCAAAAAAATAATTTGAAGAAATCATTTAATAGGTAAATTTTATTAAACTATATAAACAAACGCTTTACAACTTGCACATTAGCAATTTTGATTTCGTTTCTTTCTGTATCTTTAAATGTTTTTAAATTATCATTTAAAAGAAAACGCTTCGATAGTTTTTGTTAATAAAAAAAACTTTGAAAATAATTTTTGTTAAAAAAATATACATCTTCAAACTTCGTGATTTTCACAAATAAATTTTACTATTGGTGCACATTTATGTAACATGTTTGATGACAGGAATTAATAAAGATGAAAATCTTTTTCAATTAAATCCAAAGCGGCAAATACATTACAAACTAATTCTGCAAGCTGTTTGGATAGAAGAAATAATCCACCACATAATAAGGGAGAAAGATTAGTTGTTTTGAAGATCACAGTCTCCTGCTTTTAAATGTTTCGCAGTTTTTGCATTTACAACTACATTAACACTACAAATGCTAATGCAGTTTGAGTTATGATGGTGAATGCAGGAGAAAGAGACCACTGATTGATCCAATCAGCCAGATAAAATGCCAATTTTTTTCTCCTAATACAATAGCAATACCATTATTATTAGTTGAAAATCTGTTTTTAAAACTAGCAATAGCCCATTAAGTGTAGAAAATAATTAAAAATTTGAGGTATCATTTTGATTTAGACAATGACTTTTTCAAGTCGTAATTGTAACTTCATATATAAGTGTTAAGTCTGGTGGCACATTTTGTTTAGTTTAGGGTGTTATCTTTCATATGTATGTTTAGAAGCTTTTTTATGTTTACTTTTTATTCCATTACCATTTTACTAAATCTTGCATAAACAATCTCAACTAATATATCCTGATGGACAATCAAGATATGCCATGACCTTGTGGCTTAAAAAGCTTTAATCTCATCCAAAACAGTGTTGTGATTTTGTCGTGTTTCTTATATAAGAAGGAATATTTTTTAGCATACTAGTTTTATCAAGTTTTGTATTATATCCTTTAATAAACCAAATTGGTGATGGAAGTGGTACTGCAAATATCACTACCATTACTTTTGTATTGCAAATGCACCTTCAAATCTGCATCTATTATTTTATTAATTCTAATATAGTCAGAAAATGTTTGTCCGTTGAGTAATATATTATAAAAAACAATAACTTTTTCAAGTTGTTTAAATTAAAACCCAGATGATGCTACTGCTTTATTCAAGTTATATTAACTTGTAAATGCATCAATTTTCTTAAACATTTCTGAAAAAAAATCTTGGAATATATATATCTGATATCCTCGGATTGATCTAACCTTCTTGAAATATTCTGTTGTTAGGAGGACTTCGATAAGTCTTAGAAACTGGTAAAGATGTCTCCGAAAATTCACAAGAATATTTGGAAGAAACAGGTTTTATAAAGCAATTCAGGGTGCATTTATCACCTCTAGTTACATATTTATAATTCAAAATAAAGTTCAAAATGTTTTGGTTTGTTTGAAAATGAAATAATGCAATTTGTTTGTGTTTGTTGCTTAAATATCCAGATGTACACTTTGATGCAGCACACTTGTTGACCATTTTAAATACAATGTCTTTAAAAGTTA